AAAAGTTATCCGTATCGGTATCCGTATCGGTATCGGCGATATTGGCCCTGTATTTACTTGGTATCAGATCAATACCAAATTTTACAGGGAAAACCCAACTGATTCCCCTTGAGCAAACACTTAACTGTTTGTCTCTTACTGGCTGTTTGTCCATCTTTCCCATTGAGGCCATTTATTTTTGTTAGTCTGCCTCATGTCCTCCAGGGGGAGGAGTTTAGTTAACTGTCTAATTTCCTCATGTCCCTTTACCAGGGTCACATACAGTCAGTGTATAAGTCAGGCATTTTAATAGTATTGCAAGTTCAAAGTGTTTATTTTGTCATATGCACAGTTAGGAAACATGTTTCCCTGTACAATGAAATTCTTACTTTGCCGTCCACATGGATGCCACAAAATACAAATGAAATATAAAGTAGATAAATAAATAAATCAAAATCTAGGACACTTTAGGCAGCAACAAATGCAGCAATACAATAAAAGAATATAATAGAGAATGTATGCTGCATGGGAGCAGCATGTGCAGCAGTCAACAGTCATTGTGCAATTATGCATGTGCAAACAGAATGTAAACAGTACATCACGTATTTCCTGGTCATAAACTCCTCAGCTGTTTAGGAGTCTGATGACAGAGGGAAAGAAAGAGTTTTTCAGTCTAGTGGTCCTACATTTCACACTTCTGAAACCTCCGGCCAGAGGGCAAAGAAGTGAACAGTCCGTGCTTGGGGTGGGTGGGACCTTTGAGGATGGAGGCAGCTTTCCTACGCACCCTGTGGTGGTAAATGCTCTGCAGAGAGGGCAGTGGAGTCCTAGTGATCTTCTCCGCAGTCTTTACCACTCTCTGCAGGCGCTTGTGGTCCATAGCAGTAGTGCTGCCATACCAGACAGTGATGCAGCTGGTCAGGATGCTACTATGCACTAGGATAGTAGGATGCACTACTTTGATTACTGAGGTAAATTCGCTGAGATTGGTTTGACACTGCCTGTTACTCTTCTCTATGCTCACTTTATACTCTAACACATTTGATTAATTAGCTGTAACCCTATTTGGATACTGCAAGAATAAATCAGTTATGGTATACACTCACCAGCCACTTTATTAGGTACACTTCTAGGCAATACTTCTGCCTTGACATCTGTTTGTCTCAAATGTGTAAATTGTTTGTTATTCGGGTTATAGTTAAATGTGGTATTGAACTGTACTACATTATATTCAGAGATGTTCCTAATATTCTGAACCTCATGTACGTAGCTGGGGTAGACAAAACTATACCGACACCCCTAAATATATTGTAGTCCAGTACAGCATCACCTTCAACTATGACCTCAAACATTGGTGAATTGCCATAAATGTATAAATTCAAACACTGAGCTTCATAAACAAATGTTGCATACAATTGTACAGGTGTCCCTAATAAAGTGTATAAACTTAGCAGCAGTTTGGTAAATATGTAATTCTCGTATGCTTCCTCAGATGGTCTGAGCCTACTGCTGAAAGCCTTGATCCAGTAAATGAGGTCCCAACCTCTGCACCAGCAGGAGCCTGGCAGTAAGATAAAGGACCCAGCCCTCAGCTGCTTTGTATCGGCTCAGCCTGATGCCTATCTGAGCCCTAACAACGGCCTGTTCCTCCACTTCCAGCCAGCAGTGAAACAGTTCTTAAATCTTTAGGCAAAGAAGTAATGAATCATTTTATCATGGAGGATCCCCAGTGTGATGGCACTTATCCAGAGAGAGGAAAAACAGATCTGTGTTCCATGTTTGTTTTTAAAGCTCAGAGGAACTTGGAGCTTAGTTTCTTTCCCTCTTAATCGACTGCATTGAGTGTAAAAAGATTGGCATCAGGACCATGTGATATAACCCAGTGACACCAGTCTGCACTGTGAAGACAGGGGACTGGGTGTTTGTCTGGGAGGATGCCACTGTTTTTTGGCCTTTGATCCGTGAACTGCACCTCAGGCTGGACAGATAATGGACATAGGATCTGTCTGAATTATCTTGCACCTGGGTAAGTTTTGGGGAAATGGTCCTCAGTGGAGCTAGGTCTTATTTTGGTCCAATTCTTGCTGCCATCTGGGACAGAAGGATGATAGAAAACGGGTCTATATCATCTAATGAACATGTTATGAAGGATATACACAGCAAGGCACATCAGTCTTTTTCATTGATTCAGTTGGTGTAAAGTTAAGTAGCAGAATGTCAGTATAAAAATTTCTGTGAAACTTTTTTGTTACAAGATTAGTATCTTTTCTGCTTAGTTCCAGCTTTTGTTTGCATTAGACCAGATGGAAATAATTTCCCCACGCTGGCAGATTTTTATCTCGTTGTATGGAAATAATTGAAACATACTCTCAATGCACTACAGGAATGTGGGGTTTATTGTGATAAGTTAAATACCCCCAAACCCATGAAAGACCAAAGGCCCTATTATGTAAATATTGTAGCCGAGTATTTACGTGGGCTCAACTAGACATGCATATAAAATAATAAAACGACAAAGCTTCAGGTCTGAACTTCTTCGTCACTTTATTTTGCACTCTTCACTCCAAAACTGACACTCCCATCTCTCTCTTCCCATGTCCCCTTTCTACCCAAGTGTGGCAAGCCCCAAAGGACAAAGACAGCTTTTATGACTGGACAGGGACTCTATCAGTGGCGGTCTATGCCGATGGACCTCTCCAATGCCCCAGCCACCTTTCAACGATTGATGGAGCTAGTCCTCAGAGGGCTCCCATGGCACATCTGCATGGTGTACCTTGATGACATTTTGATCTACAGTAAGACCTTTGAGGAACACCTGCCTAGCCTCAAAGAGGTTTTCTCAAGGATCCAGGCTGCGGGGTTGAGATTGAACCCCCGCAAATGTCATCTTGCTCGGGATCATGTTGTCTTCCTGGGTCATGTGGTCTCTTGACAGGGTCTTCAACCCGACCCCAAAAATACAGAGAAAGTTTTGAACTGGCCGGTTCCCTGTTCTCCTTCAGAGGTGAGAGCTTTTGTGGGACTGTGTTCTTACTACAGGCAATTTGTTAAGGACTTTTCAAACATTGCTGCCCCGCTGAACCATCTCAAATGTGCCCTTTGAGTGGTCCACTGATTGTGATGAGTCTTTTCACCACCTGAAGCAGGTCTTGGCGTCCGAGCCTGTAGTGATACTGCCTGACTTCAGCATGCCCTTTAAAGTGTACACAGATGCTTCTAACATGGCTGTTGGTGCTGTTCTCGCACAGGACAGGGATGGACGTGAGCATGTTGTGTCCTATGCCAGCCGGGCTTTGAATTCCACTCAGAAGCATTGGTCTACATTTGATTGTGAACTGTGGGCTATTGTGTGGGCAACCAGGGAGTTCAGGCATTACACTGGACTTGCCCAATTTACCATTGACACTGACCATCATCTGCTTTTGGCCCTTCAGCGGATGTCCATTGAGAATGACCTGACGGGGAGACGGGCGAGGTGGTTACTGGAGCTTGACCCACTCAATCGTCACATGAACGCGGATGGGCATCGGACATGAAGGTGGCGGAGGACGGTGGTCCCACATCGCTGCACGTGAATGTGGTGAGTGCTGATCATGCAGCTGTTGATATGCCACGTTCTTCTGTTGTCACTGATTCTGCGGATACTGCAGCACCAGAGAACCCACAGCACAGGCCTGGCGGCATGTCTCCCTTCTCTGCTCTGTCTCATAGCTCAGCTGACATCAGAGCCATGCAGGATGCAGACCCCGACATTGGGACCGTTTTGGACTGGGTGTCGCGATCCCACAGGCCTCCAAGGTGGAAGTTGAAGGGGGCTTCTCTGTGGTTGTGTATAGACTTTGAACTGAGTTCCCCCGTCTCTCTATCATCGATGGCCTGTTATGCCGCTCAGTGAACTGCTCTCTCACTGGTAATCCTGTGGTCCAAATTGTTGTTTCCTCTGCACTGGTCCCTGATGTTCTTCTGCAGCTACATGGTGCACCTGCCGCAGCCCATTTTTCTTCGGAGCGTGTGTGGGAGCGGGCTAGACAGTTTTGTTATTGGCCTGCTATGTTCAGGGACATCAAGGAGTGGTGTGAGCGGTGTGTGGCTTGTCAGACATGCCGAAATCCTGTTCTCGCCCACCGTGCGCCGCTGGGTGGATCCCCGGCCGTGCGGCCCTTTGAGAGGGTGGCTATGGACATCTTGGAGCTGCCAGTGACTTCGAAAGGCAACCGGTATGTGCTGGTTGTTCAGGACTATTTCACTAAATTTGTCAATTTGTACCCATTGCATAATCAGTCAGCACAGACGGTTGCACACTGTCTGTTTGAGGACTATGTTCTACTGCATGGGGTTCCTGAGACTGTACATTCCGATCAGGGTCGGCAGTTTGAGTTGGAGGTGGTGCAGACTCTCTGTCGCCTGTTGAACATAAAAAAACTACTCTCTGTCGCCTGTTGAACATAAATAAAACTCGCACCACAGCGTACCATCCCCAGTCAGATGGCATGGTGGAGCGCTTCAACAGGATTCTGATTGATCAACTGGCTAAGACTCTTTTGACTTATGGGGGGGAATGGGATGACTATGTGAAGCATGTAGCTTTTGCGTACAACACCACTACTCATTCCTGTACTCGCTTTACACCATTCTTCTTGACCCATGGTCGGGAAGCACGGGTTCCCTCTGATGTACTGTTACCAACTCGTGCTCTTGATACTCAGGTTTTGGGTTCACATGCTGAGTTTGTTTCTTCATTACTGGAGAGCCTGAGTGTTGCCTTCAGTGGTGCGCGAATGCACAGTGAGATGGCTCATGATCGTCAAAAACTGTATCACGACGAGGCCTCGCGTCACCGGCCTTATGAGCTGGGTGCTATGGTGTGGCTGAGCAACCCGGTTGAGAGCCGCATGAAGCTGGCACCTCATTGGAAGGGACCTTACAAGATTATACAGGTCATGGACACATGTGGTGAACTGGGACTGACTTATAGGATTGTCAATCCTTTTGATGCTAATGAGAAGGCTCAGGTGGTGCATTATAATAGGTTGAGACCTTATTCATTGCCTGTTACTCACAGCCAGCCTTTGTCTGATGGTCACAGTAAACCTTCTGTGTCTATGGAGTCTGGGGTCTCTGGTGGAGCAAGGCTGACTTCTTCTCAGACCGGTTTGAGTGCTTTGTCTGACTCACGGTGTTCTGGTGAGTCGTTTGGGCCAAGTGTTAGTAGAACTGGGAGAGCTTGTAGACCTCCTGGCCATTTGAGGGATTTTGTGATGTTTTAGTTTGACTTTGCCTCTGTGTATGGGACAGTGTTCATGTGCATTTAATCTCCCATACGGTTCACGTTTAAGAGTTCAGAGGGTGATTTCTTTGTTTTGTTTTGTTGTGTAGCATGTCGGGTAATAAACGGGAATGTTTATTTGTGGGGAGGGGACGTGTGTAACAGACTGTTTAGTGTTATGTCTCCCCGGTGTGAATGTGCTGGTGCTCTGTTTATGTGTGTAGTATACCTTATGTCCTTTTGTCCTTTGGGGCTTGCCATACTTGGGTAGAAAGGGGACATGGGAAGAGAGAGAGGGGAGTGTCAGTTTTGGAGTGAAGAGTGCAAAATAAAGTGACGGAGAAATTCAGACCTGAAGCTTTGTAGTTTTATTATTTTATACGCATGTCTAGTTGAGCCCACGTAAATACTCGGCTACACTACACACATAAACAGAGCACCAGCACATTCACACCGGGGAGACATAACACTAAACAGTCTGTTACAATGTGAAAGTAATCGTTCATCCCTGACGGAAATGAGATGTGAATATTTATAAACGCAGGAACCACACTGAACTGTCGCTGTTTCGGTGCCACCAGCTCCCCTCCACCTCCATACCTTTTGAAATGGTCCCTAATGGGTACCAGATTTTCACCCGCGGACGCGATAGCCATCAACCCCCAGTAACTTGATCTCATCTCCGGTTGGATCTCTGCAGCGTCCCGGGGTGTGTGGTGGTGAAAGCAGCCCGCACATCCCCTCTATCTCTCTTTAGACACAGCAGGACCGGACAGCCGCCGGTCTGGCTTCAAAAACACCGTGGTTGTGGTCAAAAGCAACTGGTGGCGTCAAGCTACCCGAGGAAAGTGTGAAACCCGCGGAGATGAGACACTATAGCCGTCAAAATAAGCGTTTTTATTGTAGGGGGCAGAAATGAATTTCTACATTCTAAATATTGTTATAGTGTGGGTAAAGATGTCCATGTCCCCTAACCACTAGGGGGCCTCCTCTCCCAGGTGTGATATTTCCCCCCACGTATCATTAAATATTAGACAAGCCTGTTTTATGTTCTGTTCCAAACAAACACCCAGCTCTCCACATGAATCTCCTCATTGTATTACCAATATTTTTCATGAGTCTTTGTCAAAACGCACAAATCCTTAAATCCTAACAAAGATTTGATCAAGTTACCTCAGAAGTTTGTATTGTGTAGAAGTAAAATGTACCTTTAACAGTGGATATTTACGCGGACAGGCAGAATAAAAGCATTAGGTTTGGTGTTGTAAGATATAGCCCAGTTCTTTCAACCAGGAACTCAGAGGGACGACGCAGACCACTTGGATATATATAAAAAATATAACCGTGCTGGTTTATTCAAAGGGTCACAGGCAAGAATTAACATTACACGTCCAGGCATCTTCCACCCCAAAGCTGCTCGCAGGCAGCCCGGAAGAAGAAAGACCCTGAACCCAAGATCTCT